AAAATTCATGAATCATGTAAATAAAAGGATAAATCAAAAGAACATTTAGTGCAAACATTCACACAAAGCTCTAAACATAACTAAATAATCAACACTGAGCATGTCGTTTCTAGGCAACAATATTATGTCACACGCAGAGCCTGAACCACACTGATGTGCTCTCACTGCATATTGTGAAGCTTTAAATTAAAGGTGATGTTTGATGTCCTTTTATTTATGTTGGTTTGTTATAATCCACACACTTCAACATTTTATCTCCATGGCATTTGCCCATTATTGTTATAATGATTATTATCTAAATTTAACTGTTTTAATACATATGTGTGCTGTGCTGTCCTCCGGCATCTACCGGCTTTACACTGTGAGTCGATGTCTTAATGATTCGAGTGAAATCTGAGCAAAAACCTGTTTGTTTCTTCACATTCTTGGATCTAGAGGGATCACGTTCCAGCTCGTGTTGGAGGGACTACAGTTCAGCTGAGGCCAGATGTTAAATCTGACCTCACCTCAGGCAAAGTATGCATAGAGAAAAATGTTAATGCTGACCAGCAGGAGAGCGTTGAAACAGCAGAACCTCGACCACAACACGCTCTCTCGAATGCTGGGGACTCTGGGAGCTGGAGTCTCCTCTGATCGCCGTACTGCTGAGATACACAATCCTGCCCTCTGACCACATGTCGTCACCCGCCGTGTTGGTTCAGAGTCTGCAACACACACACACAAAAACACACACACAGCGGACACAGTAAGTTACTCAAAAACAAGAGCAGTGTGTGTGTGTGACAATGACTGTTTTTCACATGATAGCTGGTTTTTATTCCGCATGACTGCTGACAAAACTTACCCTGGGAGCTACGGTGGCTGATGGAGGACACTTTTTGCAGAGGAATGTCTCTTTTTGGCTCTTCAGTTATTGTCCACCAGGTCAGGTTACACACCTGGGAAAAATTGAAGAAGCAAAACCAAGAAAGTTTCATTTATTCACTATGAAACAGGTAAAACTCTACTGCCATTTTGACATGAGGTGAACCTGACAACACCCTGACTTTAACATTTCAAAAGTTACCCCCACTTGCTATTTTTTGCAAAAATGTATAAGATCTTTATTGCATGTGCATTTATAGTGCGTATAATGTGCTATCACAAGCTGTAAACAAGGGACGATGCAGGTAAGCGTGATTATCTGATGCTAGAAATAAAAGCTGCTTTCAATTGCCCCCTTTTCATGAGAGATCATCACAGCATGCTCTGCCTGTTTGTTTTGGCTGAATATAACAGCGGACGCCCTTCCTAAAGCAACCCCAGTGCAGACTCTTATGTTATAGATGAGTGCGAGTCTGTCTAATTCTCTGTAGTGACAGAGTGTTTTCCTCACCAGACACAGACCATACTTGCATAAGCTTACTTCCCTTATAGTCGTGTTATTTATTGTATCCATGTGTGCACACCTGTTCGTGAGTGGGCGGTGGTGTAAGCAGCGATACAACGGCAACTACAATTGCCGTGAGCCCACAGAGCAGAATGGCGAAGTGGAGGTAGTGGACACCACGTAGCACCGCAGGTGCCGAATCCTCAACGCCACATCTGGAAGGAGGGAAGGCAAACTCCAGCACCATCCTGCACACGCCGACCACCAAACCCACCATCAGACCCCAGAAGGCGCCCTAAAAATCACACAAATACACCTAGATTGGATTACATGCCTTTCTGAGCCGAGTAGCTGAATTTAATTGGACAGGAAGCATGTGTCTCATTCCTGAGGCAACTTTGAACCACACATGGGTGCGTTCAGCTAATGTCATCACTTTCCCAGAGATATAATTTGTCATCGTCACATCACTCACTTCTCACTTACTGTTAATACACACAAACACGCAGAGAGGCACAGATCACTCTCCGACTCCTTCAGCCTTCAGTGAAGAATGTGATCTGTGCAGTTTGAAAATAACCGCCTTGTAGCCACACACAGAGTACATATCTGATCTTATTTTTCCTTTATTTTCATTCCACCTGTTCTTATTTTTTAGACATACCTCACATGTACAGTTCCTATAATGTAACATGCACAGATACTAACTAGGATCCAGATATTATGTTAGTAATTACAAAGTTAGCTGACATTTTTATGAGCTTAATTCACTGCCCAGCTTTGAACACGACACAGATTGTGTTCCTGTGCAAACACTTTCGATTGTTTGCGTGTGACTCATCCCGTGTTGTAATGTGTGTCCTTTGACCCCGTGATTCAATATCATTTATATTTTTATTGTGTTTATCCAAACATACAAAGCGCACAGCTTTTGTGTAACCATGCAGTTCACCTTTCATAACAACTTTTTAATAGGTCTAAAGTGAAATGGTAACATATAAAAGAAACAGAGACACCGTGTGAGACATTATATGGACAAAAGTATTGGGACACGCCTCTTAATCCTTGAATTCAGGTGTTTTGAGTCCCATTGCCACAGATGTATAAAACCAAGCACCTTGCCGTGCAGTCTGCCTTTACAAACACTGGTTTGGTCTAATGATTCATGTATGGTGCTGTAATAGTTGCCAACACTGCAACTCATGAGTTTGTGAAATTCCTAGATATTCCACAATCTTAAGTGGTATTATGGCAAAGTGGAAGCATTTAGTAACCGCAGTAACATAGTGTGTAAAAAATCTCCAACTCTCTGCTGGCTCAATAACTGCACCAAACCTTCTCCGACATTCACCTGAGTACAAAACCTGTGCGCCGTGAGCTTCATTGCATGGGTTTCCATGTCTGAGCAGCTCCTTCAGGTGGCCAAGTACTTTTATCTCTACAGTTTATTAATAGGCTCACTTTTGGGATTAAATGTTTCAGAGACTGAGGTCATTTAACAAACTTTTTCTGCCACATTTTTACCCTTTGGCTAAAAAAAGGCCAATCTGGAATGGTCATCACCCTGCTGGGAGTGTTGGGTGGGCAGGCGGGTGGTGTGGACACACGAGTTCATGACGTATGGGATATTTCAAGAAGGATTTTCACCTAGGATTTTCAAATTGGCGCACCTGCTATTAGTTTGAGGAGTAGCACTGATGGCCAACAGTATTTATTATCACTGTAGTGTAATGTTAGCGAAGTGAGCCGACGTGGATACGATTTTCTTTTATGTAACAGAGATGTCCTTTGACCTCCAAATCACCAAATGTGTGTTTGCTTGGTGATTGCCAGCTCATGTTGTAACCCCAGGCGATTTCACTGCAAACACAAAATAATAAAAACCTAAACTCTAAAGTAGATTCTGTGCAGCTTAACTGAGCTGGAGGGGAAGTAGTATTCACAGTAAGAGGGAAGGGAAATCCTGTTCATTCAGAAAAACCTGAGAAAGTGCTCTTTCTTTCTTTCAGTCTGTGGACAACGTGCCAGCAGCGAGAGCAGACACACCCAGGACGTGCTCTATTAAAACAGGGATCGTGAATATCCAGAGGACTGGTCTTTACTTGCTGGCGATCGACGCTTTCCTTCTCATTTCCTCTGCACTTCATTCTGCAAGTTTTAATTGTGACAGTCACAGCAGGCCTCTGTCGCTCACAGTCTGTTATCATAGATCAGCAATGACTTTTATTGTTTAAAGTGAGAACCCCGGCTCCTATAGAGGAAGCAATAAACAATACACTTCATGAAGTGAATTACTGATACACACAGCTTTGAGCTCACACACAAGGGACACCACACCAAGCACTCTGTGCGCATGTGTGTGTGTGAGCTGTACACAGCTTGATCCCATTTGAGGCTAATAAAACTATGCAGCCGTTACGGTGTAAGTGAAAGGACAAACAGAGCAAACAGGGGAAAACCTCAAAAGTCCAGAATGTTCTGAGGGCAGGTATCCAGGATGGAGGGTTAAGCTTCCTTCAGTGTGTAACAACAACTTACAGATGTGTTTTCTTTCTTTGTTGTAAGTGTGTTTGGAATAAAATAGCTTTTTTTAACTACATCATGATGTAATTGAACCTCTGTGATTTTTGCTATTTTCATCATGTCACAGAAAAATCACGAATGAAAGAAAAAATAGTAATTTCGAGTTGCAGCTGTAACTTTATTATATTGATTGTCAGTGTGCTACCTGCTCATTGGTCCTCTTCCAGAAGATGGCCAGAGTGAAAACAGCAGTGACGGGTGGAGCGAGGCAGCTCGTCACCGACTGGATGTAAACGTACAGCTGCCCGCTGTTGGCTGACTGGAGGATGGGGATCCAGACCACGCTCACCACCACCAAAATCACGGTCACAATCCTGGGGCAAAGGCAAACTGTGTCAGCGCGTCTCTTTTCTTTATGAATCATCCAGCTCATTCACACATGAGTGCCACACCTGCCAACCAGCAGCAGCTCCCTCTCAGAGGCTCGTGGCCGGTGCTTCTTCCAGATGTCCATGGTAAAGAGCGTGGAGCTGCTGTTGAAGATGGACGTCAGCGAAGACATCAGAGCGGCCATCATCACAGCTATCATAAGTCCCCGAAGGCCTGCAAAAATGCATACGCAGACACTCAGATGCACGTGAAAACACCTGAAAAGTGTTGTGTGGCTGCTTGGAAAAAAAAAACATATTCTCACCGCTTGGCATGAGTTCAATGACCAGCTTGGGGAAAGCAATGTTGGAGCATCCAACCTCAGCTCCACACACTCGCACACACTCCTCTGGATCCACACAGCCTACAGAGTCTGAAACATGGAGGCGCAGTCAAAAGTTGTTTGCATGCAGGAGTGGAAGTTGACTTTTCCTCTCATCCAGAATTCAAGTTTGTTCCCTTTAAGTCCCACGAAAGGTACTAAAGGGCAGATTCAGGGTCGTTCCATGTGAAAGCATTCAAATGTGTCTGTTCCAACTACCTGCAACCCTTATTCACTGTCACACTGGAGTAGCCAGCTAGTATTCACTGCTCTACCTCTTTAACCACCCTGAACACCACTGGTTTGCGTTGCAATTTGCTGCTTCGTTACCTGTTTAGCTGATGACAAATTTCTTTGTGACATAAGATGGCATGTCCCTTTACTCACCTTACCGAAGTTTAGAGCGGACACATCTAATTGCTGTGACCCTTGTGGTTGATGCATTGCCCATCCAGCTGTCTCATACTCAGGGCATGCACTGATCCTGAGACCCTCTCCACAAGGGCATGGTCAAAATCTGGGTCTAAAGCTGTTTGATCAGTGTAA